GTGAATGAATCTGAAATCCCTTTCTTTCTGGGTGTTTTGGAGACAGATGCACTAGGGTTAAAATAAAGCACTTACTTTCCAAGAGAGTGAGGGATAACATTAACTCAAACTGATCTTCAAGTCCCATTTCCTCCAAGGAGTCCTTCCAGATTTGTTGGATAAGTGTTTATAATGAGCATATCGCCCTGCACAGTGCCAATAGCACCCCTAGCTCCCAAACTCATTCTTTTGTCTGTGCATAGAGGAAATAGCCCTTATCAGATATCACACTTGTTTAATAGTGACTGAGTGCCTGTGACTTAATGTAAGTTTCCACAGAGGCAGGGGTTGGAAGCCAAGCCACGTACCTTGAGGATACAGGGGCTGCTGGAGAAGAGGTGGAGGAGGGTGGGATGAGCTCCCTGAGACCCACAGAGAGCCTGGGAACTGGCTGCCATCTTCGTCTTGGCTGTCACAGGGCCCTGGGAGTCTGCCGCAGGCCTTCCTGGCACGTGTGTGGTGTCTGTGCAACTCCCCCACATGCCTTGGTGTCATGCCAGCGTGTGGGCTGCAGCAGGACAGAGGTCGTTGGGCAGAGCTGGCATCAGATCCCCAGGGATGCTGGAGAGCCCTGGGAGCTCAGGCAGGTCAGGCAGAACAGGAGTCCAGCCAGACCCAAGTGTGGGGACAGGACTTAAAGGTCAGATGAGGTAGTGAGGACGATCAGAGAAGACAAAGGCCTGAGCAGCCATGTCCTAACAATCCAATCAAACTGAAGAACCAAAGAATGGTGAGGACAACAGGTACGGCGGGGAATGCACTGGGCAGGAGAGAAGAAACCGGCTCCTCTCCCAGTTCAGCCGCACTGCAGGTGCGATCTGGGAGCTGCGTTTTCCTCCCTCATTTGTAAAGTGAGAGGCATGTCTACAGTCTCTCAGCGATGAAGTCCGTGGGGTGTGAGAGTCCAGGAATCACGCTTTCAGTCCTAGAGCAGGCCTCAGAGATCCACTGCGGGGAGTGGCCCAGGGATTCCATTGCTTTCCAGCTTTTAGATGAAAAGGACCACAACTTATGGTCAGAGTTTGATAACAGTTTGGGAGGAAATAGAATAATGGGGTACAAAGTTTGTGGAACTGATAAAATATGACTTTCTCATTTTACATGTGAGGAAAACGAGGCCTGGAGAGTACATCTCATTGGCTCAAGGACAGAACAAGAACCAGAAAACTCCAGTTTTCTAGCATCCGGTCCAGAGTGTTTCCTTCTCCAACCCTTCTCCCTCACTGGCTCCTGTGCCAGCATCTCTCATAGAGAATAGAACCTGAGCTTTGGGGAAATGTTCTAGCTTTCCTTTCTCTGATAAGTAGAAAGCAGGTTTAATCTGGCAAGTTTCCCTTCTAGCAATTCCATTATCAGTGGAGTGGAGTGTGAACTAATCTAGTAACACTAGAGAAAAAGAACTAGATTTTCCCTGCTACCCCAGTGCAGTAGGGGTGGGTGTGTGTTGGGGGGAGGGGCTGTGTGTGATGGATTGAGCAGGAAAATCCTGTGTTTCCTGTGGGAAGAACATTATCTCTGCAGAGCCTAAAAGATACCTACTTGAAGAAATTAAGGCAGTTAGAGATAGGAAAGGAGGGAGCGTGGCTAGCAGTCTGACTCAACCACTGTGTTATGTTGGGCAAGTGATCTCTAAAAGAGGGGTCAGGGAGCCTGGATGTGTGCCCAGAGCCTTTCAGCCCTGAACTGTAAGTGTGTATGTGTGTGTAGTCTGCCTCTTCACCGTGGAGCTACCCCACTTTCTCACAGGTGAAGGGACCAGTAAGTTCAGTTAATATAGTAAGTCCCGGAAATGCTGGCTCTAACCAATATCCCGTCCAAGTGTTCCTGAAGAACAGCTCCATTCATGACACCCCCTGCTCAAACATTCCATCCTGTTCACTGGGAAAAGCTACCGTTCCTTTGCCTAGCATTTGAACTTCAAGAGTTGGCCCAGGTTACCTCTCCAATTTCATCTTGTGCCACTGCCCAGAGGTGCACTTGTTTAAAGATCCAACTTTCAATCCTAGATTCACACCTTTTCAGCTCTTTGGTTTCAGACAAATTTTCTACCCTGAGCTTCATGCATGAAATGAAGACAATAAAGTAACTAGCTGGTTAATTCAATATGAGGATTAAGTGAAATATAATTAAAATCAAGTAGGTACTCTATATGTTAGTTCACTCTCCTTCCATGTCCCAGCTAAAGCATAGTCCTTGATAACAGGAATAATATGTATTCTTCTTTTATATCTTCAAAGCATTTAGTACAAAGCCCTTTACTAAGCAACTGCTTAATAAATATTTGATGGGTTGATATTTTACCTGTCCGTTACAGAGGTGTCTTAAATAAGCTGAAATGTTTGCTTCTGTTTTTCAGTTTGCCCAGCTGGTGGCCATCTATAAGACACTGGGAGGAGAAAAATTCCCGCTGATCGAGCAGACGTACTACCCCAACCACAAGGAGATGGTACGTGGCCGAGTGGGGACTTCTGTCTCTCTGCTGTTTCCACCCTGAGCTCAGCCACACAGTGACCGAGATTCTGATGAGGGCCTTAGCATCTGAACCCCACAGTCTCCACTGGGGCCCAGCTGTGGAGCTGCTTTGTAGGACTAGAGCAGCTGGATGTTGGCCAACAGTCTGTTGCCTTCAGATTCTGGAGACAGAATAGGAAAGAGCAGAAACAAGGGTGTTTTAATCAAGTTGGGAATAACAAACCTCTAGACCAACAATCAGATCTCACACCTTGAGTTCTAGCCTTAGGGCCAGAACAAGCACTAGTATCGTAAGCTACATTCTGTCATTCTGTGTCCGTTTCCCAGTAGGATAATCAGGTGGGCCTGATCGTCCCTGACCCCTCCCCCAGTATCTAATATGATATGTAAAAGTGTAAGTGAGATTGTCTGTGTAACTGCCTCCTGGAAAAGTGTAAAGCATCCCTCATATACGTCAGGTGTTGACTGTTCCCTAGACTCCCCAACACTGTGAAAAGGCTTGGTGAGCACTGCGTATTCTCTGGGGCCATCCTCGGCGGTGAGAAGGAGCAGGGAGATAGGATGCTTGGTTGGTGAGAGGATGCTCTTAATGTTTTTCCTCGGGGGTGACCTGGAGCTCAGAACTCCCCTCTTCCCTCTGTCACCACACCTCTGCCCCGGGCTGCTGTGATCATTTTGGTGATCCTGCTTACGTGACCAAAGGGGAATCTCTGCCAAAGAAATCCAAGTGTGGGCTCAGAGGCAGACCATGTTTAATCCCTTTTCCACTCCCTGCTCCACAAGGGATTTCCATTTGCAGCAGTTCTGAGAATTGAGAGTTTTCTTCTGGCACATTGTGCATGGCTCTGCTCACCGGAAGGCCACACTGAGAAGACCAGAAACATCCCTAGACCTTGAAAAGAACCATCTCTGTCATCTTTGCCTGAGCTTCCCCAGAAGAGGCTCTGAAATTTAGACCCTTGTCCTTAATAACTTCTAGAGACCAATTACCAGGGCTTTCTTTTCAGCCTAGAAGGCTTGCAGAGGTTGAGGAACCCTGAGAGGACTGTGGCTAGGGATCCCAGTAGGTCTAAGACACAGTGGTGAGGAGACTGGAGGTAGGGAAGCAAATACCAGGACTTCTTCCTGATGTAACATATAGCAGAGCCAACCACTGGGAAAAAATACAGTAGCTGCAAGTATACTCCCTGTCTGCCATTCCTTCCCCCAAAGCGTGCTTGTATTCCCTCTTGCCCTCCATTCCAAAATTTGTCCCCAAAAAGGACCAACCACCTCTCTGAAATGTCGAAAGCTGATGAGGGGTGATTTCAGCTCTACAGAAGACTTTTTCTTTGGGGAAGGGGGGACTGGGGACTTAGAATGAAGACATCAGTAATCTAGAAGAGCCAGAAGAGGGGCCGGCATTTGGTGCCTGGCTTGGGCTGAAGGTTGGGACACCCACATTCCGTGTCAGAGTGCCTAGGTTTGTGTCCCAGCTCTGTTTCTGATGACAACTTCCTAATGCACACTCTGGGAGGCAGCTGGTGATAGCTCAAGTAGGTGGGTCCCTGCCACCCATGTGGGGGACCTGCCATCAGGCATTTAGGGAGTGAATCAGATGATGGGAGAGAAGTCTCGCTCGCTCTCTCTTTCATACATTTTTTTTTCTAAAAAGCCAGAAGAGAAGTCTTACAGACATCAGTTGAGAATGTTAGAGACAGCTAACCCGAAGAGACAATATCTATCCTTAGATAATAAGTATATTCTTGTCCAAAGAGGTGTGGTGAATGGGCTGTACCCTTTCCTAAGAATAGAATAAGGCAGAATTACAACATGGAGAGGGAGAGCAGGCCATTCTAGCTCTCATACCAAGTGATGTGAGGTGTTGACTGTTCCCTAGACTCCCCAACACTGTGAAAAGGCTTGGTGAGCACTGCGTATTCTCTAGGTCATTCCCCCAAACAGATGAAAGTGTATGAGAGGACCAGGGTCAGCTGAGACAGGTAAGCAGATGATATACAGCCATAGTGTATTGTTCTTTTCAATCCCGCCAGTCATCTGGCTGTCTGTGATACTGTCAGCAGCCCACCTTCTGGTATCATACATTCAAGACTACTACATCTCACACGTACATTCACTGTTTCTCCCCCATCCGATCAGTTAAGGCAAAGGAGGGACGAAGGGGAGTAGCCTTGGTTTTAGAGAACTAACCCAGAATTGAAACTTTCAATGATAGCTTCAGGGTAGACTGATGGGAAAGAAGGGCTGAGGGCAGGCCAGAAAAGTTGTGCTGTCTTCCCTGGTCTTGACAGATTCTGGCCCACCATGGTCATGGACACAAGCTATAACATGCCACACCCTTGCCCTGACGCCATGGCCAAGCCATCTGCTTGGCACTTCCCCTTAGCTGGCAACAATGGGGCATGTGGTGATGGCCACATAACCACAGGAGAAGAGAACTGACTTGATCATCAGGACTCTTGAAGAGATGTGGTAGTCACTGGTCCCTACTAGGGCTGGATGATGTCAACAAACTCCTTCCTGAGTGGCAAGCGGCCCTGGTACCAGCTGCAGGTGCCGTCAGCATGCTTCATGCAGACATAATGCTGGGCCTGGTACCCGTAGAGCTTCCGTTCCAGCAGCCAGTCTGTCCAGAGGCACTCGTTGGGGGCCGAGATGGTACAAGGCACTGTATAGCAGGTGGTGATCTAGAGTCATGGCCACAAACATCAAAGTGAATAGGTTGTCCTTTTCCCATTCCTGCCTCACAGCCCATGTCCAATGCCCCCATCTTATGAAGTCCTTGCTAGTCCCCAGATTTCCCCCTGAATTCTCCTACCCTGAGCTCTAGCAATACAGTATTGCCTCTACCGGCATCTCTAGAGTCAGGCAGCCCTGAAGGTCCTCACCCTGCTGCTGACCTTGAGCTAGTCACTTTGCTTCCCTTTAATTTCTTCACCTTAAAATGATACCTAAATGCCTGATGGATTTGTTATAAAGAGTAAATTAAGTATTTAAAGTAAATTGCCTGTTACACAGCATGGCAGAGTAGACTCTCTGATAGCTGTACCTGTTACTGTCATCTCAGCCTGCCTTATTTGATGGTCACCGTCCCAGCAAAAATGCAGTACAAAATGCATAAGGGACTGTGGACCATGTGGGTTTCCCATCTGCAACTTCATATCATGGCTGATACATGGGAGACCTCAGTTATAGTGTAGTCACTGACTAAATGTATGCATGAATGCAGGAAAACATAAAGGGTAAGGCTGTGACACTCAAGACCCTTACCCTACTCCCCAAAGAGCCTAGAAGTGGACATCCCCTTACTTGGCAGACACAGTTCAGATGGTAGTGATGATTCAGGCTTTCCCTCTGCACCAAGGACAGATCCTCCCAGGGCTCGATGTAGTTGCACAAATGAATGAAGACTTTTCCATCACTGAGGACCTGCCCTTCAAAGGGAGATGGAAGAGAATACAGTATCAGGAGTCTGCCTGGAGCTCGCGGAGTCAGTCTTTGAAGAGCCCAGAGTTACAACCCCTCCAGTGACTGTTTGACGGCAGTGGCAATCCTGGGCTCAATGAAGGGACCAGAAAAAACCCCATACTCTTTATATTAAAGAGGTTAATAGACTGTGTTTGTATGAGGCAAAATCGAGGGACTGACAAAGGCCTTTGCTTTATTTAGCCTGGCGCAGAAAGGAGAACATGGGTTTTGAAGTCAGACTCCAGGGGAGACCCCTGCTTCCCTTTTATTTACCAGCTGTGTGACCTTCAGAAAGTCATGGAACCTCTCAGCCAGGAGATGAGAATAATAAAGTCACTGTCAGGACCAAATGGAAGAATGTCTGTAGACTTCTTATCCAGTTGGGGGCCCACAGAAGATATTCAATAACTAGCAGGACCCATCCCCTTCCTGACCAGTGTCCTGCCCCATACCTGTCTTGGCGAGCCTTTCTCCTTCCTCCTGAGATAGTTCCCCTTCTTTACTGATCACACGCCGTCCCATCTGGCAGAGACACTTCCTTGGTACCACCTCATCTACAGATCTATCCCTAACCATGCTGGCTTGATCACTCACTGAGCAACTACTGAGACCTACTACTAGGAACACTATATATACTCTTTCCCCCAAAGGAGCTTAAAAATGAGCAGGGTAGACAGGTGAGTAGGCAAAAGCTACACTACTGTGTGATCATGCCCAAGATGCAATCTAAGCATCTGTGTATCTTCCATCTGTGGAAGGGGTGTGGGACGGTGTCTCAGAAATGATGGGTAGGCATTCCCTTGCTGAACCTAGGGGGAGGGCTGTGGACACTGAGGCTGTCTCCAGAGGCAGAGGGATATGGCCTAGCAGCACACCTCCTGCGACAGCAAGTCATGTACTTCAGCTCCAGAGGAAGTGAGGAACTGGAACTGTCACCGTCAAATGGCAGGAGACATACTAGAGAGGCCAGCAGTGTTCCAGAAGCAAAGTGCTTTCAACACCCGGCAAGAGAGCCATCTTCTAAAGGCAGGGGTGCCGCTGATGACGTCTCAGTCACGTGTTTTGTCATTTTCCCCCTTTCCCCCCAAGAAGCCTTGACATACTTGAGGGAAGACAGCATGTCTCCTACTTCTAATGCACCTCCCTGCCTAGCAGTGAGTAGAACACAGTGGTAAGTGTTTAGGAAGACAGTGGAATCCAAGAACTTTATCAGGCCTGGTATGCTGCTCCGGGGAACTGGAGGGCTCAGTGGCGTGCCCTGCCTCTGCCTCTCCTATCTCATCTTGGGGCTGCCCAGGTCAGCACAGTTCCATCGTAGAGCTCGGAAGCCCCTGTCATTGTGACCTCCAATGCCTGTGTCTGGACTGTGAACTCTTTGAAGACTGTGGCTTCTTACTGAATGTCCATGCCCTTGCCCAAAGCCTGGCAGTGAATAGATGGTTCCTCTGTTGCTGACTGGACCGATGGACAGTGAAATCCTCCACCTGACCTCCCCACCCGCTGTGCGCTTTCTTTTTCTTGCTTTAACCCTGAATATTTTTCATCTTTTAGGGCCAGTTTGGATCCTACTTACACAATTATTAAAGTATTATTCACAAACACCTCCTTTTCCTAGACTCCAAAATGATCTATTGTTGTATTCACCTTTTTTTTTTTTTGACAGGCAGAGTGGACAGTGAGAGAGAGAGACAGAGAGAAAGGTCCTCCTTTGCCGTTGGTTCACCCTCCAATGGCTGCCGTGACCAGCGCGCTGCAGCCGGCGCACCGCGCTGATCCGATGGCAGGAGCCAGGAGCCAGGTGCTTCTCCTGGTCTCCCATGGGGTGCAGGGCCCAAGCACTTGGGCCATCCTCCACTGCACTCCCTGGCCACAGCAGAGAGCTGTCCTGGAAGAGGGGCAACCGGGACAGAATCCGGCGCCCCGACCGGGACTAGAACCCGGTGTGCCGGCACCGCAAGGCGGAGGATTAGCCTAGTGAGCTGCGGCGCCAGCCCTGTATTCACCCATTTATGGAGTCATATTCTTGTGTGATACTTTAAGTGTCCCAGCTTAACTAATTCAGTACTGAAGAGTCCTGCCTGGGCCAGAGTCCATGGAGACAGAACTGTTGGACTCAAGGCTCTTGATAGGGCCTGTGTAAAGAGCAGAGCTGCACCCACCAAAAGTTTCGGAGGCAGATTTTGGCTCAAAGTGCCAAAGATCTTACACCAATTAAAACCCTTCGAAAATAGAATTGGCTACTCTAGGCTGAGAGAGCAACCTGTCTTTAAAATAGTGAAGCAGGGGCTGGCCTCATGGCACGGCAGGGCAAGCTGTGGCCTGAGATGTGAGCATCCCATATGAGCATCAGTTCACATCCTGGCTTTCCCTTCAGATCCAGCGGTCTGCTACTGCACAGGAACAGGAAGATGCCCCAAGTACTTGGGTCCCTACATCCACGTGGGAAACCCGGATGGAGTTCCAGGCTCCTGTCTTTGACCTGGCCCAGTTGCAGCCATTTTGGGAGTGAATCAGCAGATGGAAGCGTTCTCTCTCTCTCTCTCTCTCTCTCCCTTTCAATTAAATTTTTTAAAAGCCTTTTAAATTTTTTTAAGTAATAAATAAATACATAAAATAGTGAAGCAATGGCCAAGATAACTCTAAGAGGACTCTTGAATTCAAAGGGAGGTTGCCTCCACTTGTTTCAACTTTTAAGTTACTGTTTCTCACGAACACATCTTCTTATGCCTGAGAAAATGCCACCTGGCTCACAGAAAGCCTTGACGTTTTTAGCACAGACTTATCAAGGCCATTACTGCTCTTCAGCTTACTCACCAGTCAAGAGATACTGCTTCTGGCTGTTGGCTTCTAACTTCACACCACAGAGAGAAGAGTCAAAAGGTGTATAGATGTACTGAACATCCTTGATTTTCTCAAACCCTTTAAACATCTAAAAGGCAGTTATTAAAAAAAAAAAAGCAGTGTTGGGTCAGTGACCGTATTATGCATATTAACAGATAAAAATTCATTTTTTAGTATGAAAAATTAACAAAAGTCTAATTTGGAATTAAGTGCTCAGAGATAACCCTATTAGTTACTCCTCTCAATAACAATAGCAACGAAATCTAAATCTTGAGCTTACTCTGGTGAGAGGGGAGGTGTTCTGATGGGAGCTGAGGGCCCAAATGGACACCAGGGGCCTGTTGGGCACTGTCGCTGCGATTCTGCGGGCCTTCCCCCAACATCTCATCCACTTCAGCATCTAGACTGAAGGACCACCTAACAGCCCCACCCATCCCTGAACACAGACCCCACTCCCTCTGGGAACCCAAGGGAATGAACAGCCTGTGTAGTCCCCATGTACCTTTATCTGTTTGATTTCATACCGGATCATTCTCTGAGTGTCAGCTGGATCTGCACTGGCAGGAACTACCTTCTCACTAGAGATTTTTGCACGGATCACTACAAAGGAAGATAAAAGGAAACTTTTACCAACTGGCGGGGCAGTCGCCTGAGCGCTGAATGGTCTAGTGCCCTAGGGAATTTTGTAGGGGGCTCTTGGCCTAGTCTGTTGTTGGGTTTTAGGCAGAGTGGTGTGTGTGAGAATGGGGAACTGGAACTCCTCTGCAGCCATAAGAAGGTCCAACTCCCTCCTTAGAGGCCTGTTAGGTCCTACAATCTCTATGCCTTTTTGTTCTGAGCCTGATAGTTTGGAGGGCTCTAGTGCTCCAGACCCCATAACGCAGAGGAATGAGGGGCAGGAGGGGACCTCCTTAAAAAAAAAAAGATTTCCTTATTTGAAAATCAGTGTTACACAGAGAGAGGGAGAGCCACACAAATCTTCCATCTGCTGGTTCACTCTCCAGATGGCTTCAAGCCAGGCCGAAGCCAGTAAACAGGAGCTTCTTCCAGGTCTCCCACCTGGGTGGCAGGGGCCCAAGCACTTGGCCATCTTCCTCTGCTTTTTCCAGGCCATTTAGCATGGAGCTGGATAGGAAGTGGAGCAGGCCACAGGGGATGCACTGTTGTTATGTATGGCAACTTCACCTGCTATACCACAATGCGGGGGGGGGGGGGTCCTTTAGTGCAGTTGCTGTGAGGTTCATCTGTTGGTGTGGCTCAAGGCCTCACAGCAGCCCAGGGTTAACATTAACAAATAGTTATTGAATTCATAAATATCTGACCCTGCATGGTGGAAGTCCAGCCCTTACCATTTAGGCATTAATAAAAATCTGTTTATGAAGTTTTTTCTCTGTGCCTGGCCCTGAACTAGGTACTAGACCCATAGATGTGCCAATGACAGGGTCCTCGTCCTACAGAATCCTTAGTTTAGTGGAGCACGCACTTAGAAAGAACAGCATGGTAGGAGTGCAGAGACATCAGAGATGCTGTGGTAGTACCAAGGAATCAGGGAGTCTTCAAAGAGGGAAGGCTGAGTTAGGCCCTGAATGGGGTTTGCCAAGACTTTAAGCGTATCAGGAAGGGGCTTTTCAGGGAGAGAGAGAGAAAGGGGTGTATTGGGGTTTGGTGGTAACTTCATTTACAGGCCTGGGCACACACAGATGTCAAAATGCAAACCCTCTCCCCTCCTCCCTCTCCTTCTAGTAGTTCAGAATAATCACCAATACCTCCAGTGACACTCCATAATTGCCTTGTGGCCCCACAGGGCCAGGCTCTGCTGTTGCCATGGTGCCAGGGGACCTTAGAGATCCATCAGCCTCGGCAGGAGGCAGCCAGTCTGGGGCGGGGATCTGAGCTCCTCCCTTTTCCTCCCGGGCCTCGCAGGAATCCCCCACCACCGCCCCCTGCTGCGGACCTCGTACTCACCCAGCGCCGAGTGGCATACGTGCTGCTGGGGGTGCGCAGGGGCGCAGCTGCACGCCTCGCCCGGCCCTGGGGGCCGCAGCAAGGCCAGCAGCCGCAGCAACAGCGCCCAGCTCGGCGCGGTCCGGGGGCTCCGGGGCATGACACTGTAGAGCCCCGACTGCGCCCGTGGGGTCTTTCAGACCAAACTGTCCCTCCAGGGCGCCTTCAGAATGCGTTGCACCCCTCGCCCCAGGCTTTATGAGGTGGCCCAAGGACCAGTCCCGCCCCCAGTGGACTCCGCCTTCCTTTGGCTCCAGGCCACTCTGGGCTGCAGGACCCGGGGCCCTCCTGAGCAGCAGATTCCCAAGATGAGGGAAGCCAGAGAGGCCCCGGGCTCGGATTTCCCGGCCAGAGTGCTTGTCTGGAAGCTGGGGGAAGCCAGTGGGTGAGGGGGTGGTATCAGGGGCAGCAAGATTGAAAGAGCAGCCTGACAAATGTGTGGGCAGGAAGACGGAGGGACTGTGATTCAGGCAGAAGGGACAAGGGTGAGGAGAGGCACAGACAGTGAGACAGAGTCAGGGAGAGGCAGGCAGAATTACAACAGGCAAGAGAGACAGTGACAGAGGAGGACGGACCCCTCGCTGAGCTGCACACTGGGAATGAGACAGGCTACTCCGGGCTTCTTTCAGCTGCAGGAAGTGTTTTCAATGCCCTATTTATGAGGCTCCAAAGCAACAGCAAACAGTAAGGGAATAGGACAGAGAAAGTTGGGGTGTGTGTGTCTTGGCTCAGTTGGCTAGAGGGGTGGGGAAAGATGTCCGAGAAAGCAGCCAGTGCTTTGGGAACCCTTCCCAAAGCCAGAGCCTTAGTCTCTGCAGATAGCTGGGGCAGTGCCCTCCGTGAGAGCTCAGAACACGGGGTGTTCCATCACTGAGCCTAAACCCCGGACCTCAGAGCCCTCTCCGGACCATGGCTCTACTCAAGACTCTCATGTTATAGAAGGCAGGGCAGTCTAGAAAACAAGCCAGAAACTTGGGGTCCTTGTGGCCAGAGCCTTGTCTACTGTTTGATGGAGCATAGTTCTCCAAGGCTCCAAATAGAAAGGGGCCCGTGGGATCATGGCTGTAAGTGTTTGCCGTTAGTGCTGGGTTCTGATTCTGCCTGTGACGAGGTGGCTTTGTAGACTTTGCCACTCCAGGACTCAAATTCTTCTCCATGGAGGAGAGTTTTCAAATGCCCTTTTAAAAGCTCTTTCTCCAGCCAGGAATGCTGAAATCTTCCAGCCAGAACTCCCAGTGTCTGGTCACATCTGGGTTCCCGTGGGAGTCGGACTTTCCATCAGAGCCAACGTTATTTCCTTCAGAGGTGTTTTCTCACATTGGTAGTGCTGGTGATGTTTTTAAGAAAGGAAGCTGAGAGAGAGTTGAGTCCAGCTGAGAAAGAGGTTGGATCTTCATTCAGGGTCCAGGCCAAGGCAGAGTCTGAGGTACTCGTGTTTGAAGGGGTCTTAGAAAGCATTCTGTGTGTAACTTCTTTTAACAGATTTGAAGGCTGAGGCTCAGCGAGGTAGAGTGACTTCTGGAAAGTTTAGTAGCAGAGAGGACCAGAGTGTGAGTCTCCTGACATCTAGTCTAGTGCTCCTTAAATCCTGCTGTTTTGCTTTTTCCACCTGCTTTTTGTTACAGCTTGAAATCCTGACTTTGGAGGGTAGTTCTTTTGAGTTTGTATTGATGCTCTGTTAATATAGGGCTGCCTCAAGGTAGAATTTACTCTTTTAGTGGTCTCTTTCTCACAATAAACTATTACATTCTCATAGCAACACTCTCTCGGACCCCAAACTGGGCAGAAATAGGCTTTAGCATACTGTGTGTTTGGTGGTGAATTTGGGGTGTTGTTGAGCAATGAAGAATGTGGAAGGATAGTCCAGGTCTGTGTAGGCAAGCTGGACCTTTGAAGGGGGTAAGTACTAAGAGTTCCATGACAAAAGGGACATTGATATTCCAAAGATACATTTTTTAAAATTTCAAGTTTACTGAGGTGCAGTTTACATGCAGTAAAATTTATCCTTTTAAAGATTTTTTAAAATTCCTCTTGTCCGAGGGCCACTTCTGTTCAGGGTTTGTATAATGAACAGACAAGATTGAAGCAATGAGTTGTAAAAATGTAGAAAGGACCAAGTAGGTGAACAGGGTGCCTGTAGTCCTGCCGCCAACATGCTATATGGCCCTGAAAGTCACTGTCATTCAACAGGTCTCAGTTTTTTAATTCATAAAGCAAGTGGATTGTATTAATTCTTTAAAGGACCTTCCCAAAGGTTTTCCCAAGAAAAATATTTGTAAAGATTCCACAGAGAGAGAGGCCATTCTGACCAGTTCATTCCTTTCTCCTCTGCTTTCAGCTAACACTGCCTGCGTTCCCTGTGGTGGTGAAGATTGGCCACGCTCACTCGGGCATGGGCAAGGTAAGGCAGAAGGGCCGCTGTCTCTGGTGTGTGAGTTTTCAGATAGCTCATTTGTGGATTGCTCTTTGGCCTGTGTTACCAATGAACTCCTTCCCAGGAGATGATGATCTGGGCCCTCCAGAGTCATGACTGTTACCCAACCAGACCTCTTTCAACAGCAGATACAAGCCACCTGCTCATTCCCTTGGATCCCTTATAGCAGGTGTAGTCCCTGGCCCTGGGAAGGAAAGCTGGAGAGAAGGGGCCTCCGGGGGAGGCGTGGCACCCAAGTCTGCGTCGGGATTGGAAACATCTTGAGGCTCCAGGCTCTTGTGGCTTCTGAGCGTGTCTCTGTGTGTGTCCCTTTCTTCCTCTCTGCCCTGCTCCAACATTAGGTCAAAGTGGAAAACCACTATGACTTCCAGGACATTGCTAGCGTGGTGGCCCTCACCCAGACCTATGCTACAGCGGAGCCTTTCATTGATGCCAAGTATGACATCCGGGTCCAGAAGATTGGCAGCAACTACAAGGCTTACATGTGAGTGGGGATGGGGTCCCAGCAGATGTTCTGTACTCTCCTCTCAGCCCCACCGGAGCCTCGGAGGCTCCATGCAGCAACTGACTTTTGGTTTAACTTCATCTGGACCACAAGGCAGATTATCAAGAGAGAGGGTGCCATCTAAATTCCCACAGTAGCCAGGTTGGGGCGGGCCAAAGCCGGAGCCCGGATCTCAGTCTGGGTCTCCCACCTGAGTGTCAGGAGTCCAGCTACTTGAGCCGTCTCTTGCTGCCTTCCAGGGTGCACATCAGCAGGAAGCTGGCATGGGAAGCAGAGCCGGAACTTGAACCCCGGCACTCCAGTGTGGTGTGCAGGCATCCCCAGCATGCCAGATGCCTGCCCCAAGTCAGGGTTCCTTTACAGTAGAGGTGAGGGTCTATCAACTAAGATGAGAAATAAATAAAATTATATTATTTTCACTAGCCTCTAAGTGAAATAAAGCTTTTTCTTTAGTTATGGACACATCAGTAGTAGCAGTATATAAGATTTTGTCGCTAAAGATACTCAGATATTGTTCTATGACACTGCTGTTGTGACATGTATCATAAAATACCAGTCCCTCTCATTGCTATTTAAAAATCATGCTGGGGTAAGCATTTGGCACAGTGCTTGAGACTCTGCTTGGAATGCCTGTACCCACTTGGCCCACATCCTGCCTCCATTCCTGGTTGTAGCTTCCTGCTAGTGGATACCCTGGGAAGCAATAGGTGAGGCTTCAAGTAGTTCTGTGCCTGCTACCTACATAGTTCCCACCTCCCAGCTTCAGCCCAGCCCAGGCCTGGCCTATATTGGCATTTGGGGAATAAACCAGTAAATGGGAGATTTCACTCTGTCTGTCTCTGTCTTATACCTGTCAAATAAATAAAAATTAAGAAATTAAAAGTTTAAAAAGAAAAATCATGTTATTTAATAGCCCTGCTACTACCTTGTATACTTAAAAAATAACACATATATTTCTAACTGTAAGTCTGTTTAGTATTTTAACTTTATTTGGTTATTAACTCTAACTGGGTACCTTTGTGAACCTGTGGACTTCATGCATTACTTACATTTTGTGCACTGGAAGGAATCCATAGGCTTCACCAGGGTGCCCAAGCATGGGAGAGGTAAACTTCTGAAGTGAATGTCCAGCCCTGAGCACACTGCAGAGACGATGATTTTTCCACATAACCGTATCCATTTGCCAGAATGAAAGTCAGAAATTTCCCGTGACAGCATTTAGAAAAATAAAAGATTTCAAGACTTCCTGACTTTTATAGTATAATTTCATTTTTGGGGATGTGAGCCTCCCACTTTTTAAAATCTGAGGGGGCACTGTCTTCACAGAGAAAGAACGTCAGTCATACGAGTTCGATTTTTGCCACTCAGCACTGAAGCAGACTTGAGTCTTGAGCAGCCTCCTCTTGACTTCACCTGCTTGTTCCATTTTACTACGTCCCTCTGTTCAGTGTTTGTGCTCCCTACCTTGGAGTTAGGTAGGCTCCCCTTCCCTGCACTCCACCTCCAGGCCAGCCCTTTTCACGAACTGATGTGTGTGTTGTTCGCTCTCTTCCACTCTGAGCTGCTGTGGGGAAGAATCATGCAGTCATCTCTGCGTGGCCACTGCTCGCACGCAGCAGGCACACGGTGGCCCCTGGTGAGCATTCAGGGACAATTCCTTGTAGGGAGTGAACCATGGGATGGTTCCTTTCATTTATCAGCTAGATTCTCGCTTCTTTTTTTTTTTTTTAAAAAAAAGAGATTTTATTTATTTATTTGAGAGGTAAAGTTACAGACAATGAGAGGAGGAGACAGAAAGATCGTCCATCCACTGGTTCACTCCCCAAGTGACTGCATTAGCTGTAGCTGAGCTGATCTGAAGGCAGGAGCCAGGAGTTTCTTCTGGGTCTCCCATACGGATGCAGGAACCTAAGCACTTGGGCCGTTTTTCTCTGCTTTTCAAGGCCATAGCCGAGAGCTGGATCAGAAGTGGAGCAGCCAGGACTAGAACCAGCACCCATGTGTAGGCAAAGGACTAACCTACTGTGCCACAGTGCCAGCCGCTAGATTCCTGCTTTTAGAAAAAGCTTATTATTTCATATTTATAGTCTTTCTTTTTCCAGAAAGAAACTTAGAGCTGTAAAAATAAATACAATGCAAGACAGAATCAGTTAAAAGGCTA